AATGCTTTCTTTAATTTAAAAATATGATTAGGATAACTTAAATCCTCAAATCCAGGGGGTTCCTCCACATAAACTTCTTCTTTAATAAAACCATTCAAAAATGCACTTTTAACATCCATTTGATATAATTTAAATTTCATCAAAGATGTATAAGCAAGAAGTAGGCGTATAGCCTCTAACCTGGCAACAGGAGCATAAGTTTCATCATAATCAATACCTTTCTCTTGACAATAGCCTTTGGCAACAAGTCTGGCTTTATTCTTTGTTATGTTTCCATCTTCATCAAGTTTATTTCTAAACACCCATTTAGTTCCAATTACTTGATGTGACTCTTCTCTTGGGATTAATTCCCAGACTTGATTCCTTTCAAATTGGTTAAGTTCCTCTTGCATAGCTATGCACCATTGGTCATCTTTAAGTGCTTCCTCAACATTCTTGGGTTCTATCTGTGACACAAAAGCTACAGACATGCAGAAATTAGTCATATTTCTAGTTCTTACCCATTTTGAGATATCACCAATGATATTGTCCATTGATAGTCCTCTTGGTGATTGTCATTCTTTTGCTAATTCAGGTGTTTGAGAAGGCTCATTTTCTTCCAAATATAATTCATCAAGAGCATCTCTTATATACTCATCATCACCTGCAAATTCTTTATTTGACTCAAGAGGATTTCCCCCAAGGTCTACAATCTCATCAAAAGTAACATGAATAGATTCTTCAATATTTAACGTTCTTCTATTAAACACCCTGTAAGCCTTGCTAGTTAATGAATAACCTAAGAAAATGCCCTCATCAGCTTTTGAGTCAAATTTTCGTAAGTTGTCCTTTCCATTATTTAACACAAAGCACTTACATCCAAAAATTTTCAAATGAGCAACATTAGGCTTTCTACCATTTAACAATTCATAGGGAGTTGATTTTATAATTGACCTAATGAGCATTCTATTCAAAACATAACAAGCAGTACTAACCGCATCAGCCCAAAAATATTTAGGAACATTAGATTCATTTAACATTGTTCTAGCAAGTTCCTCTAATGACCTATTTTTCCTTTCAACTACACCATTTTGTTGGGGAGTCCTAGGAGAAGAAAATTTATGTAATATTCCATTTTCTTCACAATAATTTTCAAACTTTTCATTTTGAAACTCACCACCATTATCACTTCTTAAAACTTTAATTCTTAAGTCTTTCTCATTTTGTATTTGTTTTGCAAACTTTCTAAAGACCTTAAATGCTTCGCTTTTCGTTGTTAGGAAAAATGTCCAAGTATATCTAGAGTAATCATCAACAATCACAAGACCATAATAATTTCCACCAAAGTTTTTTATCCTAGAAGGACCAAATAAGTCTAAATGTAATAATTCTAGGGGTTTTGAAGTGGAAATAACATTCTTTGATTTAAATGATGATTTTACTTGTTTACCTTTTTGACATGCATCACATAACCTATCTTTTTCAAACTTTAACTTAGGCAAACCAACAACTAAGTCTTTTGATATCAATTTATTCAAATGATGCATATTTATATGAGCTGCTCTCTTATGCCATAACCAAGGGTTCTCTTCCTTAGCAACTAAACATGTTATACTAGAATCATGTAAACAATCCAAATCAATCAAGTATATGTTATTATGTCTAATACCTTTTAATTCTACATTTTCGAAATCTATCAAATGTATGGTGCAAAATTTACTTTCAAAGATTACCTTAAATCCTTTGTCACATAGTTGACTTATGCTAAGGAGATTATGCTTTAGTCCATTAACAAGAAGCACATCCTTGATCTCCAAAGTGTTTGCACCACCAATATTTCCAATTCCAAGAATCTTCCCTTTGTTGTTGTCTCCATAAGTTACATATCCTTGTTCTTTAGCTTTGAAACTTACAAATTTCGTTTTATCACCGGTCATATGCTTTGAGCATCCGCTATCAAGATACCACATAGACTTCTTAGATTTGGAAGTTTCCTACAAAACAAGAACATAGTAAACTTAGGTCCCCATAACTTTTGGGTCCTTGGGGTTAGAGACAAATAAATTATTTAACAATAGGAACCCAAATGTATTTACCTTTAGGAACACCAACATGTTTTATTTTACATTTATTTGAAGTGTGACCTTGTTTCATACAATAAAAACATGCTTTAGATGTAACTTTTGAATATGATGAATTTTTAACCATAGATGTTCTAGTTCTTTTTTCTACCCATACTCTTTTATTTTTCCATTTAGGCTTTTTCAAAGGAACTTGGTAATTTACACTATTTTGAGCTAAAACAGTTTTATCCTTCTTAAAATCACTTATCTCCTTTTCGGCTTCATCTAGCAAATGATTAAGGATATCTATGTCATATTCATACTCTTTACAAGTTGCACATGCTAAGTTCTTATCATCATTCTCATCTAAACATACAATTTTCGTTTCTAAGGATTCCTTTTCCTCTAAACATGACATGTGATTTTCATTTTTAATGAGTCAACTTCCTTTTCGGATCTACTTAAATTCTTCTTCACAACTTTATATTCATTTTTCAAGTTCTTAAAGGCACTAAATAATTCATTATATGCATTTTATAGTTCATCATAGTTATTTTCATCATCACTTGAGAATGAGTTAGAATCACTTACCTCAAAGTCGGAAGATATGTTGTCATTTGCCATTAAGCAAATATTGGCTTCAACTTCCGAGTCACTTGATTCTGAACTTGAATCACTGTTATCCCAAGCAATATAGGCTTTCTTCTTAAAGAACTTTTTGCTTTTGATTTCTTCGTTCTTCTTATTTGGACATTCGATCTTCATATGTCCTACTTCACCACAACCATAACATTTTATATTTACGGAAGTACTTTCTCTTACCTTTCCCTTACCTTTGAATGGATGCCTTCCTTTAGTTTTCATGAATTTGGTGAACTTCTTTATCATAAGACTCAATTCTTCTTCTTCATTTTTTGAGTCTTCTTCTTCCTTTTTATTTTTATCTTTGAAAATTTCGGTTTTGAAGGCTAAGTTCTTCTTTTGATATTGTTCTTCTTCATCGTTTAGCCTTCCAAGCTCAAGCTCATGCTCTCTTAGCTTTCCAAAGAGCGCCGCCATAGACATTGTGGCAAGGTTTTGTGACTCTGAGATGGTCGTCACTTTAGGTTGTCATTTCCTATCCAAAGATTTTAAAATTTTAACATTCAATTCATCAACGTCAAAGATTTTACCTAATCCGGTGAGATGGTTCACAATATGAGTGAAACGCTTTTGAATGTCAAATATTGTTTCATCTTGTTGCGTCCGGAACATTTCGTATTCTTGGATTAGGAAATTTTTCCATGCTCTCTTAACATCATCAGTACCTTCGTGGGTTACTCTTAGCATTTCCCACATCTCCTGAGCACTTTTACAAACAGAGATCCTGTAAAACTCGTCAAGGGTTAAAGCAGATGAAATAATATTTCTAGCCCTAACGTCAAATTGTGCTTTTTTTGTTTTCCTCTGTTGTCAATCTAGAAAAAGGTTTAGGAACGTCAACACCGTTCTCAATAACTTTAGGAACATAAGGACCGTTTAAAATAGCGTCCCAAACACCTCTATCAACAGACTCTAAAAAGATTTGTATTCTTACTTTCCAGAAAGGATAATTTTGACCCGCAAAAAGTGGGGGTCTGTTGATAGATGCACCTTCGGCAAAAGTTTGATTTTGTCCGGCCATTTTCGAAAAGTTTGAATGACTATCAAAGCAAGCTCTGATACCACTTGTTAGAATCGCGCAGCGGAATGTTCGCGTGGACGGACAAAAACCAAGAGGGGCTGATGAATTGGTTTCTTAACAAAAATTAGGTTTTAAAAATTTTCCCCAAATTTTACCGATTAAAAAAAAAACTGTGCAAACGTAAATAAGATAGAGATAGAGTCTTACACAGGAGATTTATACTGGTTTGGATCAAAAGACCTTACGTCCAGTTGCTAATCACTCAAACAGAGGATTAACGCTGTCACTATAATCAAAGTTGTTACAAACAAATAACAATTGAAAATACAAAGTAAAGAAAAAACCTCTCTTGAAACCCACAAGAGATGAAGAACAACTTTCCCCAGAGATGGCACAACACACAAGCCAATAAGAACTCCACTTAGTGATTCTTATCGCTTCTAGCCCACACCAGGTTCCAAAAGCCCCTTTTTCCTCCAACAAACAGTTCTCTGACACTCAAAACACTTAACTTTTGTGTTGAAAAAGGTTGTTCAATTTTATGAGAGCCTTAGAGAACCTTAAGTAGAGAAATTAGGGTTTGGGAATTGGGATTTTCGGAACTAGAGAGTATTGGGATTAGGGTTTTCAAAAATAGGTTTAATTTGAAGTTGAAAATCAAAATCTGACTGAAATAATCGATTAAATGAAGTGTTAATCAATTATTACATAGCCAAAATTAACAGAACCCAAAAACTCTCTGTTTTAATCGATTAAAAGCCATGTTAATCGATTAACAGGCCTGTTAATCGATTAACAGGTGTGTTAATCGATTATTACAGTGAACATATACAGAAAATTGTTTTTCTCACTGTAATAATCGATTATCTGACCATTTAATCAATTAAAGCTGAGACAAACTGATAAATGTGAGTTTTTGAAGCTTCTAAAGTGCAGATTATGTACCGGCTATCTTAGACTCTAATATTACAGACTCAAACTAATCAAAACAGAGTTATTACACAATAAAACAAGTCTTCAACTCTCTAAGTTATTTGTTCTTGAATCATCATCAAAATCAACAAGCTTCATGTCCATGTAAGTTCAACATCAAGTCCTTGAATGTTCAACATATAAACAGGCATGAAGGAAGTCTTTGTATGTGTGGTGGATAAACTAATACAAACTCCTACACTTCCAAGATCAATTACTATCTTCCCTCATACAAACTTTCTCCTATTTGCCCACCTCATTCTAAAACACTATTTTCTACACAAATCTCACTATTAAACATCAAACCATCTTTTCTATCATTCCTAAAATACTAACACATCCATATAGTACAATTGGTTAGTCTCCACAGTTGCTTTTCTGATCAAACTTCTCATGAAATCCTTAAGCTTGTGAATCTCTTCTGCACTGGACACGTCTTTTATTCCAACCAGATTCCATGGTGGGTACACTGAGACTTCCCCAAAGAAGTTCTCACTAGAGAACCTTAGGATGCAGAAATAGTAGAATATGAAAGCAGAAGCTCTATTGGGGCAGCGCTGAAGAACTTCTCTGGCAGCAGTGGACACGCGGAACTGACAAAAGTATCCAACAACATCAACACGACAATCATAGAGGCCATACACAATAGCATATGCACCAAGGGTGTTGAAAAGTGATGCAAATTCTAGAAAGATTAAGAAAATTAAGTTCTAGAAACTTTCTTAAGTTCTAGAGACTATTAGAATTGTAAATTCTATGTAAGTAGCCTCTAGAATTACTAGAATAATATAGAATGATAAGTTAAAGTGTAATGTAGGAAGAATCATCTCTAAGTTCCTAGAAGATTCTAGAGAGGAGTGTCTCATGCCTATATATAGGTGGTGACCCCCTCACTTGAAGAGTAACACTTCCAAGATCAATTACTATATTCTCTCATATAAACTTTCTCTTATTTGCCCACCTCTTTCTAAAAACTATTTTCTACACAAATCTCACTATTAAACATCAAACTATCTTTCCTATCCTTCCTAAAATACTAACAGTGGTATTTGAGCTACGTTCGGTCACCTACTGGGCATAGAGAAAATTTTTCGACTACCTTAAAAATCCCAATCCCACTACACATTACTTCCAAAAAAAAATTCTAACCTATGACCATTACCAACCAAACATCATCCATTCCAGTCCCTATTTTCAAGGGAGAAAATTATGATTTTTGGAGAGTCAAAATGAAAACATTTTTTTTGTTCTCAAGATCTTTGGAACGTCATAGAAGATGAGTTCACTATTCCAAAAGACATCTCAACTCTTACAGCTGCTCAGGGGAAGGAGCTGAAGGAAAACAAACAGAAGGATTCAAGGGCATTATTCAATCTTCAGCAAGCAGTTGATGACACTATTTTTCCAAGAATAATGGATGCCACAAGTGCAAAGGGAGCTTGGAATACAATACAGGAGGAGTTTCAAGGAAGCGATGAGGTACGTAATATTAAACTTCATTCACTAAGAAGAGAATTTGAGTTAATAAGAATGAATGAATCTGAGACCACAAAAGACTACTATTCTAGAATAAAAGAAATAGTTAGTCAGATGAGAGCTTATGGGGAAAATATTCTTGATAAGAAAATTGTTGAGAAAATTCTAATTTCTATTCCCCAAAAATATGATGCAATTGCAACTGCAATTGAACAAACAAAAGAGTTATCTACATTATCGGTGACACAACTATTAGGCTCTCTTGAAGCATATGAACAAAGATTGAAAATGCGTGAAGAAGACTCAGTCTCCACACAGATATTTGCGGACCAATGAAGACTCCATCACTTAATAACAAAAGGTACTTCATTCTCTTCATTGATGATTTTTCTAGAATGACTTGGGTCTACTTCATTAAAGAAAAATCAGAAGTCTTTGGAATATTCAAAAAATTTAAGTCCCTTGTCGAAAAGCAAAGCGTAAAACAGATAAAGGTACTCAGGAGCGATCGAGGCAAAGAGTACACCTACCACAAATTTGATAAATTCTGTGAGGATGAAGGTATTGAGCAACAACTTACAGTTACATATTCTTTACAATAGAATGGTGTCTCAGAGAGAAAAAATTGCATTGTCATGGAGATGACAAGATCAATGCTAAAAGAGAAAGGCCTACCTAACACTTTTTGGGCAGAAGCAGTCTACACTCCAGTTTACATACTAAACAGATGCCCAACTAAGGCAGTCCAAGACAAGACTCCAATTGAAGCTTGGAGTAGGCAAAAGCCATCAGCTAAACACTTAAGAGTTTTTGGATTTATCTACTACATACATGTGCCAAATTAAAAAAGGCACAAATTAGAAGACAAGACTATACGAGGAATCTTCTTAGGATATAACAGACAAATAAAAGGCTATAGAGTTTATAACTTACAGACAAAGAAGCTCACCATCAGTCGAGATGTTGAGGTTGATGAAAATACTTCTTGGAATTGGGAAGAAGGAAGAATCATGAGAAACAACATCTTCCTTCCAGTACAACAATCCCAAGAAGAAATTCAAGAAGTGGCAGAAGATCCAGATACACTTCCTTTATTTGTACAACAAGATTTTTCACCAGAATCTACTCCAAGGAGAGTAAGATCCTTGGTGGATATATATGAAAAATGCAACATGGCAATGCTTGAGCCTGAATGCTATGAAGAGGTTGCAAAGCAAGAAGTCTGGATCAAGGCAATGGAGGAAGAAATTAAAATGATCGAAAAGAATAATACTTGGGAACTAGTAGATTGTCCACATGGAAAAGACGTAATTGGAGTAAAATAGGTTTAGAAAACAAAGCTCAATCCTGACGACACTATACAAAAGCACAAGGCTAGGCTGGTAGCAAAGGGCTATTCACAACAATCTGGAATTGACTATAACGAGACATGTGCCCCAATTGCTCGTCTAGATACAATTAGAGATTTAATAGCTCTTGCAGCACAAAAAGGATGGAACATTCACCAATTGGATGTTAAATAAGCCTTTCTAAATGGTGTACTAGAAGAAGAGATATATGTGGAGCAACCACAAGGCTTTATAAGCAAAGGAAATGAAACCAAAGTATTAAGGCTAAGAAAATCACTATATGGCTTGAAGTAAGCTCCTCGAGCATGGTACAACAGAATTGATCAGTACTTCACTAATCAAGTATTCAAGAGGAGCAAGAGTGAGCCAACACTATATATCAAGATTCAAGGTCAGTATGATATTCTTATTGTCTCTCTATATGTAGATGATTTTATCTACATAAGAAACAATAAAGAGATGATAAGGGAATTCAAATAAGACATGATGAAAACATTTGAAATGAGCGACCTTGGCTTGTTGAATTGTTTTCTCGGCATAGAGGTAAGACAACAAAAGGAAGGTATATTTATCTCTCAAAAGAAATACACTGAGGCTTTATTAAAGAAATTCAAGATGTATGGTTGCAAATCTATGGCTACTCCACTTGTGACAAATGAGAAGTTACAAAAAGATGATGGAGCACCAGAAGTTGACGCATCACTCTACAGAAGTTTGATTGGAAGCTTACTATATCTTACTACTACACGACCAAATATCATGTATGCTACAAACCTTCTATCAAGGTTCATGCAAAGACCAAGTCAAATTCACTTTGGAGCAGCAAAAAGGATTTTAAGATATCTACAAGGCACAAAGGACATTGGTATATGGCACAAAACTATGAACGACTCAAAGTTGATTGGCTACACTGATAGTGATTGGGCAGGATCTATAGATGACATGAAGAGTACATCAGGTTATGCCTTCTCACTTGGATCGAAATTTTTCTCTTGGGCATCTAAGAAGCAAGCAACAGTAGCACAATCAACAATAGAGGCAGAGTACATGGCTGCAGCTGAGACTACAAGTCAAGTTATATGGCTCCGAAGAATACTTGAAGAGATGGGAAAACAACAACATGGATCTACTACAATTTACTGTGATAACAAGTCAGCGATAGAAATGACAAAGAATCTAATCCATCATTAAAGAACAAAACATATAGCTGTTAAATATCACTTCATCAAAGAGGCTGAAGCGACTAAACAAATTCAACTTGAGTATTGCACTACAGAAGATCAAATTGCAGACATATTTACCAAGGTACTACCAAGAGACAAGTTTGAACAGTTATGTTTCATGCTTGGAGTTATAGAAATTTGCATCAAGGAGGAGTGTTGAAAAGTGATGCAAATTCTAGAAAGATCAAGAAAATTAAGTTTTAGAAACTTCCTTAAGTTCTAGAGACTATTAAAATTGTAAACTCTATGTAAGTAGCCTCTAGAATTACTAGAATAATCTAGAATGATAAGTTAAAGTGTAATGTAGGAAGAATCATCTCTAAGTTCCTAGAAGATTCTAGAAAGGAGTGTCTCATGCCTATATATAGGTGGTGACCCCCTCACTTGAAGAGTAGCACTTCTAAGATCAATTACTATCTTCCCTCATACAAACATTTTCCTATTTGTCCACCTATTTCTAAAAATTATTTTCTACACAAATCTCACTACTAAACATCAAATCATCTTTCCTATCCTTCGTGAAATACTAACAGTGTTGTTGCCAAAGTTGTTGTGGTTGTAGCCTTTGCTTGTTGCTGCATCTAAGGATAGCCATGAGAGGACATTGTTAAGGTTGGTTTTGTATGCATTGCTTAGAGATTTTGGGGTGGTGGAATTGCAGTCATCTCCCGCATAGTTGGGTGATTGTGCCTCTGTAACATGTGGTTGAAAGCCTAGCAAAAACACAAAAAGAAATGAATATGTTGGTCTCACATTGAATTGTTTTCCCTCCATAGATGACAAATGAAAAATATGAATCAACAAAATTGTCTTTAGATGTTCAATGTTCCCGTGCTTATATGTAAGTGAAAGAGAAACAATACACTGTCAGTGCCCAATTTGTACCTTCTTGTACCTTCTGCCACACTTCGTCTAGTTTATCTTAATAATGCCAACAAAAAGAAAAGTCAAAATACTTCTTCTATCTAAAAGTTTTGTTTTTTTTTTTAACATGATTTATTTCGTATCCAAATAATATAATCATGAGATGTTTTTAAAACCGATCAAGTAAAGACGTTGAGGATTCGAAGGTTTAACGGGGATTCAATTTTAATAAAATAATATTTTTATAATATAATAAATTTATTAAAAATAATATTTTTTTTATAAAAAATAATAATAACAATTATTGTTATGATTATAGTTATAATAAAAGTTATAGATATAAAATGTATTAAAAAATAAAAGATGAATAATTATTAAAATAAAATAAAAACATAATAAAATAATTATTATTTAAAATTTACATAATTAATATAAAATAAAATAAAATAATAAAAAATTAACATTAAAATAATATATTTTATTTGAATAATTTTAAAAAATATAATAATAATGATAAAAATATAATATTTATTATAAAATTAATATGATACTACGATGAAGATAATATGTGAAGTCAATGTATGTCATTCTATCACTAACAATTAATTTTGCAGTTACAACAAGTGTAATAATGCTTATAAAGGTGATTATTATTATATCAATTATTAAAGTCGTTATAAGATTTATTTAGAGGTATATTTAGTTTGATGGGTCCATCTCAATAAGTTAAATTATAAAAAAAATTGTAACTTAAATTAAACTTAATTTGGCTTGATATGTTTTATTAGTTAGTCAAATTAAATTTATCTATGTTAGATGTTTATGTTTTTTTTTCTATTATTAGTAGTTACATAATTGTCTTGTATATAAATACATTCTTTGTCATTCAAAAAGTGTAATTGAGACATTACATAGATAAAAAACACTGTTGTTTTTGTGTTGTTTTTTTCTGTTCTCTATTAACATGGTATCAAAAATAAGGTTTTGTCCTATGAATGAAGTAAGACTTTCTGATATTTCTTGTCTGCTTTTGAGTGAGCCTCAATGTGTGAAGTGTGTAGTCATTCTTCTCAGTGGTGAACAATCTTGAAAATACTAAAGAAGATTTGAAGGTATCAAGATTGGTGAAGATGTTAGTTATATTTGAGTTTCAATATAGCCGATGTGGTAATGAATGGGCTTAAAGACCCTGGTGACAATGCTACTAAAAAATCCAAGAAGTACTTTAAGAATATTTTAAAAGTTCGACTACAATGCCACATTTCTCATTTACCAATATGTTCAACCAACCAAAGATATTCAACAAAATTTCCAAAGCTGCAATAGTGAAAGAGTGTAGTGTTGAATGATCATAACGGTAGGGAAATCATCATTGATGATGTGTTGTATGTATTAGGTTTGAAGACAAATTTGATGAGTTTCAGATAGTTTTTGCAAAAAGAATTTGTCATGGAAATGAAGGAGAATGGTTTGAGTGTATATGACAAAAATCATAAATTGGTGGTTCATGCAAATCTTTCTAAAAACATAACCTTCTGTGTTGGTATGAATACACAAAGACATGAATCATTTGACATTATAGATAATAGGAGTGAGTGGTTATGCCATAATAGGTTCGACCACTACTAGAAAAATGTCAAATAGTAACCGAAATCAGTGACAGAAAAAATTAGTTACTATCGATGACCGAACCAAGTAACCAAATTATTATTTTTTAATTTAGTAACTGAAATAGTAACTAAATTTTCAGTGACAAAAAAATCAGTTACTATTTCAGATCACTTTATTATTTAATTTATTTTTTTTATTATTTAATTTATTTTTTTATTATTTAATTTATTTTTTTTTAATTTTTTTAATTTTTTTAATTATTCTAATTAGTATCTAATTTTTACTCTCTCTCTTTTACCCTCCCAACTTTCATCTTCTTCGCGCTGATAATCCTCAAAATTTTCATGTTCTTCACGCTAATAACCCTCCCATTTATCTTCCCGCTCACAATTTCACTCCCTCTCTGTGACCTTGTACCAGTGACTATCCACCATTGTTCGAGCTTAATCACCTTCGTCTCTCCAACCCCAATCTTCCACCCTTCTGTTTAGCTTCGAAGATCTTTAACCCAGTATTAGGGATGACAATTAAACCTGTCTCAGTGGGGACCGACCCGCTCCCACCCCGAGTTTGACGGGAAAACCCGAGTTGACCGGGGCGGGTTCGTGTTCCCGCTTTAAAAGTTGGGGCGGGCGAGGCGGGATGGGTAATGCAATCCCGACTCCAACCCCGACCCCGGCTCCGTCCTCGTCCCGACTTTATATTTAAATTTAAATTTTAAAATATTAATATTTTAACAAGTATTATAATAATAATGTTATAAGTATTCAAATTTTTGAATACAGTATTATAATAATAATAATAATGTTATAAATAAAAATGATTAAATATTTCTTTTCCATACATTTTTTAATATAAATATAATAAATTAAAATGTATATTTAATTAATAATTATTATAAAATTATAAATATTTATTTATATATAAAAAAATAGATAGTAAAATTAATTTATTATAGATATAGTTATCTTTTTAAAAATAATATAGATCGGGACGGGAGCAGAAATAAAAATAGGAATGATTAAAAAAGTCGGGACGATAACTGGAATTATTAAAAAAGTCGAGGGTACGGATCGACAGGTAATAGTATATTATATTGTTAATTTCTAACTAAATCTTCACAGATTTATGGTTAATAGTATATTATATTGTTACGTTTAATTAAATTTTAAAATAAGTTCACTTAATCTTTACATTTTTATAAAAATACTAATATAAACTTAAAATATTTATCCAATTATTAAATTATTTAAAATATTAATATAAATTTGAAATATCAATTCAATAATTAAAATAATTTTAATTTTTTTATAAATACATTGGAATATAATTTTATTAACATTAAAATAATATATATATATATATATACATATATATATATATATATATATATATATCAAAAAGAGACTAAATTAATAATTAATTTAATCATTGATTATATATATAAAAGAGACTAAATAAATAATTACTTTAATGATCGAATCGGTGACTAATTTAATAATTAAATTTAATTTTTTTATTCACATACTAAATTAAAAAATAAAATCAAATAATTATATTACTAAATTATTTAATAAGTTAATAAACTATTTTTTAAAATTTTTATAAAAATTTTATCAATTATTTTAAATTATTAAGTAGATTTATATTTAATATATTTTTAAAATATTTTTAAAAAATATTTATATAAATAAAAAATGGTCACTAATTTATATATTATTTGTTTAATGACTGAAATTTTAGTCATTATATATAAAAAGAGAAATCAGATCATTGATTCAGTTCTTATTAGTAACTCGAATTTTTCGATCACTAATTTCGATCACTATTAACCATTTTTCTAGTAGTGACTGATTTAGTGACCGAATCAGTGACCGATTTCCGTGACTAAAATTTTAGTTACTAAATCAGTAACTAAATATAAAACAGAAATCAGTCACTGATTCAGTTACTATCAGTGACTGAATTTTTTGGTTACTAATTTCGGTCACTATTAACCATTTTTTTAGTAGTGAGAGATTATATGCTTCAATGAGTTCTGCTCCGCATATGAGGTGGTATTGTGAAAATAAGAGAAAGGAGGGACATTTGTGTCATCCATCAGATGGAGAAGCATGAAAACATTTTGATAAGACATTTCCTGATTTTGCAATTGAACCAAGAAATGTAAGATTAGGATTATGTGTTGATGGTTTCACCCCATATGGTCAATTAGGCAAATCATATTCTTGTTGCCCAGTGATTGTAACTCCTTACAATTTACCACCACAATTGTGCATGACTACCCCCTATATGTTTTTAACTTCAATTATTCTTGGGCCAAAAAATCCAAAGGAAAAAATAGATGTATATTTGCAACCTTTGATAAAAGAGTTAAAAATATTGTGGAATGAAGGAGTGTTGACATATGACATTTCCAAAACACAAAATTTTATGATGAAAGCTGCATTGATGTGGACGGTTAATGATTTTCCTGCATATGGTATGATGTCTGGTTGGAGTACAGCTGGAAGATTGGCTTGCCCATATTGTATGAATAATTCAAAGAGCTTTTGGTTAGATAGTGGTCGTAAGTTTTCTTGGTTTGATTGTCATCGTCAATTTTTTCCTATGAATCACTACAAGAAAAAATCATTTTAGCGACTGAAAAAATCATTTTAGCGACCGAAAAAATCGGTTACTAATGTCAAAAAATCGGTCGCTAATCAGTTAGCGACCGAAAGGCGTCGTCGCAAAAAGCCAAGTCGCTAATGTGTTAGCGACCGATTTTATTTCGGTCACAAAATAACGACCGAAATTAATATATCAAATTGGTCGCTAAATCAATGACAAAGTTAAAAAAATAGCGACCGATTTAAATCAGTCGCTAAATCAATAACAAAATTAATTATTTTTATTTATTATTTATTTTCCCTACCTCTTTTTATATTATATTTTTTAGAAGTTTAACCTATTATTAGGTTTAGAGGTTGAAACTCTAACCATTGAAATACTAGGATTTTTTAATAATAACTTATAAATAAATTATATTTATATACAAATAAATGTATATCCAGTATAAATATATAAATATATAAATATATAAATATAAATCTATAAATAAAAATATATTTATATATTTTAATATATATTTAAATATTAATATATTTATACATTGATATATTTAAATATTAATATATTTATATCTTTATATTTTTACATATATTTATATATTTATATTTTTACATATATTTATATCTTTTCATATTTATATATTTATATATAAAGATATAAAAATATTAGTTTTGTATACCAATAAT